AATATATCTGTGGGCAACTTTTTTGACAAGAGTGCGAAGACCATCCTCTAATGCAGAAAGAATAGTCTTCCTAGCTACTCAGGAGTCAGAGATCAGGAGAATCGTGGTTCAAACCAACTCCTGGCATATAGTTCCAGGAGACCCTATCTTGAAAAAATCCTTCACAGAAAAGGGCTGTTGGAGCGGCTCAAGGTGAAGGCCCTGAGTTCAAGCCCCAGTACTGAAGAAAAAAAAAATAATAATCTTTCCCACAAATGGCTCTGGGACAAATGGATGGACACATGCAAAAGAATAAAGTTTGATCTTTACTTCACTTACAAACACTAACTCAAAATGAAAGACCTAAGAGTAAGAACTAAAACTAAAACTCCTAGAAGTAAAACCTCATGACTGGGTTTGGCAAAAGATTCTTAGGTGTGACATCAAAAACATAAGCAATAACAGATAAATTGCCTCTCACTCAAGTTAAAAAGTTTTGTGCTTCAAAGTACAACATCAAAAAAGAAAACAGGTGCGGTGGCACATGCCTGTAATCCTAGCACTCAGGAGGATTATGAAGTTGAGGCAGCATGGGTTACATACTGAGTTGGAGTCTTAACCTCCATGTTTCCATAGGCTATATAGCAAGTTTGAGGTCAGCCTGAGTTACATAGTGAGACCCTGTCTTGAATGAATGAATGAATGAATGTGAAAAGAGGGCTAGGATATAGCTCAGAGATAGGATGCCTGGCTATTATTTATGAGGCCCTGAGTTGGATCTTTAGCACCTCAAGGAAGAAAGGAAGAAGAAGGAAAACCACAGAAAGAAAACATTTTCAAGTCACATATCTAATAAGGGGCTTGTATCTAGAATAGATGATTAATAATAAAAAAGATAATGCAGGGCTGGGCATGGTGGTGCATGCCTGTAACGAGAGGATCCTGGTTCAAGGCCAGCAGGGTAAGAAATTAGTGAGACCCCATTTCCATCAATAAAACTGGGCACAGTGGTATATGCCTGTCATTCCAGCTACACAGGGACATAAGTCACAGCACAGACTGGCTCATTCATTAGTCATCAGAGAATTACAAAACAAAACCACACTGGTACACCATTTTATACCCACTAGGATGACTACAAATTTTTTTAAATCGGGTTATTGGGCTGGGAATGTACTCTGTAGTACAGCACTTGCCTACCATGAATGAGGTCCAGGTTCAATCCTCAACACTAGAAAAAGATTGCGGAATCAAATATTGACAAAAATGTGGAAAACCCTCATACATTGCTGCTGTGAATGTAAAATAGTGCAAATGCTTTGGAAAAACATTCTGGCAGTTCCTCAAATATTTAACAGACATATGATCCAGCAATTCTATTCCTAAGTTATATGTCTAAGAAATAAAAGTGTGTCCCAAAGAAACTTGTATATGAATGTTTATTGTGGGATTATATATACAGCTGAAAGAGAGAAACAGTCATGATCATGTGAATGATAGTTTAGACTGTGAGAATGGATACAATCGCTTTGAAAACATAGAATGAACAGGAAGAGACCCTAATGAAATAAATGGTCAGGTAAATATAAATAGAACTGTGGAATATTGTGTCACAGAAATCGGTGGGGTTGAGTACCTCAGAGAGATGGATATCACAACATCAAATTCAATAGGAAAGCCCAAATTAGAACAGGAACAATTTGTAGAAGTGGCATTTGACTTGGTGGTAATAGCAATGGTGTCCACAAAGCAGTGGGTTCAGAAACCAGATTATACAGGGACTTTTTATTCCTATAGCTGCACTAAAATCCCGCTTGTCAAAGTCTTAACATTCATGTTTCCAAATCCAGTGGTCAATTTTTAGTCAACTCTTCAGTTTATTATTTATTTATTTTTAAATTTTCACATTCAGCTTCTTAAGCAGGAACATTACAGCTTATAGTGCCTTCTTGATTTTTTTTTATTTACTTTATAAGACTCCTTACTCTCTTACTCTGCTTTTAAAAGTTCTTTTCTAACTACTACTTTTAAATAAATTTTTGCAGATTTATTAAAATCTGACCTCTACTAGTTGGAATGCTTCAGGATTGAAGGTCTGTCTTTAGACTGCTTCTCTTCCACATTTGTGAGCTCGTTCCATCCCGTAACTACCTATACCTAACTTAATGACTACCCAGTTTATACCTCCAGTTGACCCTTCTGTGAGCTCCAGACTTACATTTTTAATTGTTTATTCAAAAGCTTCATTTTGGAAATCTCCAGTTTTAACATGTCTAAAGTAGAACTGAATGTTTTTCCCCCAAACTTCTCCTTTTCCTCCAAATGTTCTATCTCAATAAAAGGCATTATTATTAATTCAGTTATTCAAGACAATCTGTGACATCCTTGACTCTGTCCTGTACTCGGTGTTCAGTCTATGAAGGAGTCACCTCTAGCCACTTTCAAAGTACATTCTGAGTCCAACCACTTCCTACCACTTCCATTGCAATATGAGCCTTGCAGGTCTTCTGCAATAGATTCCTAACTGGTCTTTCAGCTTCTGTTTTGCCTCCTTGCAGGCAGTTAAAGAGTCAACCAGAGTGAACCTCTTTAATTATAAATTCATCATGTCACTTTACTCAAAATCCTCTATGACTTCTCGGCACACTCTTAGGATAAAATCCATTCTCCCCTTGTCCATAAATCTGTAGATGATCTGATTCCCGTCCTCCAAATAATTTCTTTTTTTGTTGTTGTTGTTTTGTTTTTTTGGCAGTACCGGGGTTTGAACTCAGGGCCTCATGCTAGTGCTCTACCACTTGAGTCATTCTGTCAGCCCAAATAATTTTTTCTTTCTTTTTTTGTCTGTGTGGTTCTGGGGTTTGAACTCAGAGCTTTGTGCTTGCTAGGGAGGCACGCCATCGCTTGAGCCACTCCACCAGTCCCAAATAATTTCTTACCTGCCCTTTTTAATCCTGCTGTGTCCCTCTGACTGGAATGTTTTTTCCCAAGTGTGTATGGCTCATTCTGTCAGTTCAGGTATTTGTTCACATGTCACTTCAGCAAACAAGCCTTCCCCGAAAGCCCAGTGTAAAAGAATACATCCACTCTGTTAACCCACTTTTACTCTTGTCTTCCTTTACAGTACTTTAAGTAACTTTATATTATTTTCTATGCATATCTCTCCTCCCCCTATACTGTCAACCCCTGCACTAATAAATAAGTTCCATTAATGCAAGAATCTTGATTTGTCACTGCTGTAACCCCAGCACCTACAATAAGGTAGGTTCCTCATATATAGTAGGAATTCAATAAATAGTTGTTTGAATGAGTTATAGTAATGTCATTTTAAAAGATTTTAGAGGTACCAGGGATTGAATCTAAGGACTGGAGCATGCTAAGCTCCACTTGAGCCACACCCCCAGGAAAGAATGAACTAGGATACTAGCACATTAAATTGCTACTTTGCTCTCTGGCCCTCTGCCAGGATTTAATGTTACAAAGATGAAAAAGACATCTTCCCTGCCCTCCAGAGTTTATATTAAGTAATATTAAGTAGTATAGCTAGATTAAAAATATGTAATTATATTTTAAATTCTATAGGTGAAACAAGTTATGAAAAAAGCAATGCAAACTGGGTGAGATAGTGCTTACCTTGCAGTCCTAGCTACTGGGGGGAAGGCTGAGGTGGAAGGATGACTTGAATCCAGGAGTTGGAGGCCAACCTGGGCAGCATAGCAAGACGACATCACTTGCTCTTTTTTTTTTTTTTTTTTTTTTTTTTTTGCAGTACAGGGGTTTGAACTCAGGGTTTACACCTTGAGTTACTCCGCCAGCCCTGTTTTTTAGTGTTGGGTATTTTTTTTTTTTTTCGGTCCTGGGGACCGAACTCAGGACCTTGCACTTGCCAGGCAAGCGTTCTTCCACTGAGCTAAATCCCCAACCCCTAGTGTTGGGTATTTTTGAGATAGGGTCTTGTGAACTATTTGCCTGGGCTGGCTTTGAACTGTGATCCTCCTCTCTGCCTCCTGAGTACCAGGATTACAGGCATGAGCCACCAGCATCTGGCTAAGACCCCATCTCTTTAAAAACAAACAAAAATTCAGATTAACGGGAGAGAGATGGATGTTATTGCACAGTTCCTAAAGAGCTGCCTCCTTTAGGAACTACCATTTGAATAGAGACCTGATTCAAGTGGAGAGATCCAGTCTAATTAAGATCTTCTAGATGGGTATCTAAAGAAAAGGGAGCAAGCCCTAGAGCTGGAACATGCTTTGGTCTTAGTGACAGCAAAGAGGCCAGTAAAGCTACAGCAGAGTTAGGCAGGGTGGGAAAAGAAAATCAGAGAAATAAGATGGGTGCCATACCATGGAGGGCCTTCAATGGCCGCGAGTGTGAAATTTAGGTATTTAATTTGTGATGGGAAGCTATTAGATGTTTTGAGGGACTAAGATCTAACATTTAAAAATGTTACTTTGGTTGTCCTGTGTTTAGCTGTGGCTAATAATGGAAGTAGACCAACTAAGTGCTTATTGCAGCTAGTTGGAACAGGATGTTAGCGGTATAGAGGAGGAGTCTGATTCTTGCACCTTGGCCTCTGTTTGTTTGTTTGTTTGTTCGTTTTTTAAAGTCCCCCAACCCGGCGGCTGAGAGGAACCAGGGTTCCTTAGGTGTCAGCAACAAGCAGCGTACAATAGTCGCCCTACGTCACCAGGCCCTTTCTCGGTAGCGTCCACCACAACAGCCCTCTGCGGGGAAAGAGCATCTTGAATAGCTGAGCTATATACGCTTCTGAGCCTCTTTTTAGAAAAACGAGTAAGGCCTGGCGTGGTGAGGCCGAGGCCAGCCCGGGCTATACAGCGAGATTCTTGACTCAAAAAAACCCAAGAAGGATAAGTTAGGGCGTCTCGGGGGAAATGAGCTTGGACGGTACAGAAGCCACGTAAGGAAACAAAATCCTCAAAGGCAAAGGGAGTTTTCAGAAGAATTTGGCGAGCATTGCTTATTTTCAGTGCCCAAGAACCGCAAGAGAGGAGGTCATCCAGGAACTTGCCAGCCAGTTCCTTGGAAATGAAGTTTATTTCCGTCACAACTCTTAAGAAGCCCCTGAGTCGCATGTGTCCCTACAGACGCCAACTCTCCGAAACTACGAAAAGAACTTCGCTTTTTTGGTAATGCGCACGCGCTCCTCACTGTTTTCTGTTGGCGTAAGCCCCGCCCCTTACGCGTCCTCCTACAAGGGTTGAGAGCCGCGAGCTCGCGCGACCACTCTTCAGTCTTCTCAAGCACAGCGTCGCAAACGGGGCCGGAAAGCGTGGCAGCGCAGGCGCAGGCGCAGAGAGCGGAGGTGGTGGTGGTGGCGGCCACTGGCCAGTGTAAGATGGCGGCGGCGTTGGTGGCGGCAGTGGACGGGGCGGCTGGGCCTGGAACAGTTGGAGCAGCAGCTGGGAGAAGGATGACTCAAGGCGGGAAGCGGGCTGCTGAGCCTCTCCAGCTCCCGTACTTGTAACTGCCCCAGCTGGACACCCCCCCTTGACCTACCTGGTCCGTGTCTCGTTCCGGCTCGGCCTGTCCCCTTCTCCCTGATCCTTTCCCTTCAGGATGGGCCTGATTCCTTTCCAAAAACCCTAGGACTCAGGTCTTTTTATCCCGTCCGAGTTAGTACTGGGAGGAATGGTTGTCCTTTCCTCAGGTCAGCCTTGAGGTTGCCCTCGAGAACCAGTCCCATAATTCACAGGGATGTCTTTGTCGGGTGACCTGTTTGTGTGTTCCTATTTCTCCTCTTAGATTGGGGGACGCGGCTCGCCCCCGCGTCTCCCCGTCAACTCAGGGCCACCGCGCAATATGTCCCCCTCCCCCATCCCAAGTTCTCAGGCCCAGCACCTAGTACGGAAGGCCGAGGTCCAAGAAACCTGGAGCCGGTTGTTGCCGTCTGGTCTTCTACTGTTTATAATTCTCAGAGTTTACCTCTTCCCACCCCCTAATCTTTTAGAACACCTTAGAACGGTCCCATTTGGTCCCTGTTAGTTGGAAAGCATCTGGTGGCTTGAATTTCTGACTCACAGGATTGTTGGCTGGAGTCTGTGTAAACAAACCGGCACTAGCGCTATCACATTCTCTCCGGGATTCCCCCTCCCCCTGCCCTGCAGCTTCTGGTTGAGAGGTTGTTTGGTTAGGTTTAGCGTTGAAAATTTTTCAGATTTTCGTTTTAAATGGCTTTTAGTTTTAGCGGACCTGGACAATAACTAGCCTGGCTTCTAAATCTGTGTTGGTTCATTTTATTTCCGTTTATACTGTGGGTTTTGTTGAGTCAGAATTAGGTAAGTTACTCCGTTTTAAATAGTTCTAAGGAGGCTTAAAAGAAACACTAAATATACTCATAATTATTTTTATTATGTTTAGTAGAAGAAAAACCTTAGCCATGTAAACTTTAACTTTTCTCAGTCCTTCAGTGAACCTCCAGACCTATTTTCTCAGGAGCTCAGCCTGGCCTTACTTCAGTGATAAAAGGAGGAAAGGTGAGTGGGAGTTAAAGGCATTTAAATTCCTGAGTTCAGGACAGACCCTGCCCTGATGCTCAAGTGCTGACTACTAAAGACATACAGTTTTTACTACAATTTCTAAGAGTTTGAGTATTGTTCTTGGCTGTGTTCCAGCTTTGGTTAAATTACTTTTACAAATTTAATTGGCTGTGAGTGTTTTTTCTGTCCTAAACTATTGCTGTGTATCTTCAAGTGACTTGAGTTAAGCCTAGAAGTTTGTGCGTGGGGTGGGGTGGAAAGCCATGTATCCTATCCCTCTTTTTTATTTTTCATTTGCTTTGTGTTTTGCGCTTGTGTTGCTCATGTTTCTTAATATTATAAAAAACTGAGAATTAGTTTGCCTGAGTTTTCTTGAGCCTTGTGTTAAATCAGGTCTTTTCCCCTCTCAGGAAAGTATTGTCATCCTTGCCATTTAGAGAATATTTAGCCACTTCTGACTGGCTGAAAGCTAGGAGTGATAACTGTTGCTGTTGGTGTCGAAGTCCAATCCAACTCAGAATTTCACCTTTTCAGAACATAATGGGAAATTTTTGGTAAAAAAATGAAATAGTAGCTGCTCATTTGTAACTAGTCTGAAGTACTTTTGGTTAGAAAACTTATCCTGTATGTTCAGTAGCATGGACCAGTGCCAAAAAGGAAGCCAGCACATACTTATAAATGCAGTTTTTATAAGGCTTTTAATTAAGTTTCTAGTAGCAGAGAGTACTGCTGTGGTTGAGCTCAGAGGATGTGACAGAAGAGCTGAGTGGCTCTGGAAAGTAGACTTTGTCAGTTCTTAGTATCTTTATGATTTATAGTAGGAGAAGGTTGAGAGTGACACTGAGAAAATGTTCGTAATGGACTGAAATAAAATTTTTAATGATGATATGTATGTAAGATGAAAGGTATAGTCTTTAGAGATGGACAGACCTGGATTTAAATACCATAGCTAGATTTATTAGCCATGTGACCTTAGACAAATTACTTAAACTTCTCTGACTCTTAACTCCCACTTTATGTATGTATGTATGTATGTAGTGCTGGGGATTGCACCTAGAGTTTCTTGCATGCTAAGCAAACCCTCTACCACTGAACTATACTATACCCCTAACCTCTCAAATTAATTTTTTTTTTTTTTTGGTGGACTGGGGTTTGAACTCCAGGCTTCATGCTTGTACAGCAGGTGCTCTACCGCTTGAGCCATACCTCCAGTCCATTTTTCTCTGATTACTTCAAATTCGTTTCTGTTTTTATTTTTAAATTTCATTTATTTATTTTTTGTGTGTGTGTGGTACTGGGGCTTGAACTCAGGACCTACACCATGAGCCACTCCACCAGTCCTATTTTGTGATGGGTTTTTTCGAGATAGGGTCTCGAGAACTATTTGCCTGGGCTGGCTTCAAACCGCAGTCCTCCTGATCTGTGCCTCCCAAGTAGCTAGGATTACAGACTTGAGCCACCAGCACCCGGATTCAACTTCATCTTTAATCGTTCACTTTATATGTGTGCTTTGTAAGTGTCCAGGTCTTCTGAACCTGATTCAGGACAGTCTGGTAGGGGTTTATGAGTAGAGGACAGAAGGAATACTGGATGTTGGTATAGGTATGTTTATAAATGCATTCTTTTTATTATTTTTTTTTGTTGTTTTGGTGGTACTGGTGTTTGAACTTACGGTTTTGTGCTTGCTAGTCAGGTGCTCTTCTGCCTGAACCATATCCTTAGTCCTCTAAATGCATTCTTAAACATCAATAATTTCTGCTTTTTGTCATTGCTTGCTTCCTTTTGGTCACTATTAGCACACCTGATTAGAGTTGTCAGTATTGTAATTCCTTCCCCTTCCACTACAATCTTGTTCACCTGTACCACAGTGACCTCAAATTTGTCTTTCATTTTTGCCATGGAGGGAATACATTATCTCCAAATTACTGAGTTCTGTGCTTATCCTCATCATCAGATTATCAAAGCACTGGCTGTTAAGTCTCACTTCTTTCTGAAGTGAATCAGGATTAGAAGGTTAGGAATACAGAGTTATTTTTTCATCTGTACAGCTGGACCATCTTACTAAGACAGCACAGATAAAGAATTTTAACATTTCTTGGCTTCCACATCTTTTTGGAAGAGCAAGTGTATGTGAAAAGTATGGATAACACTGCAATGAAGGAGACTTTATTCATTCAGACTAGTGATCATTTTATAATCAGTCATCTTATCATTACCACATTCTAGGGTCTAAATTCTTATTGTAAGGTAAACACTCTTGGCAGTGATGATGAGGTAGGCATTTGTGCTTTTATGAAATCTGGAGCTCTTTGTTGAGTGTAGAAAATGAAATAGTTTGAAAGAAGAATAACTATGTAATCCTTCTTGCTTAATGTGCTGGATAAGAATTTCTCCCTCTCAAACCTGCAGAAGGTTTCATATTTTATGCTCCAGATATCTGTGTATAGAGTGAATCAATATTTGTTATAAATCACAGTTATAAAATTCTTATCTTTCCGAAGATATTTTTGTATTTCAGGGTTTTAGGTATTACCTAAGAGTACAGGGTTTTAAAGTCACAAAGTGACTAAACCCTGCTTTCAGGTAGGTGCTATCATTCATGCCTGTAAGCCTAGCTACTTGGAAGGCAGAGATCAGAAGGATTGAGGTGTGAAGCCAGCCCGGGCAAATAGTTCTCAAGACCCTGTCTCAGATATCCAATACAAAAAAGGGCTAGTGAGTGGCTCAAGTGGTAGAGCACCTGGCTAGGAAGGATGAAGCCCTGAGTTCAAACCCAAGTACCACTAAAACAAAACCTTGCTTTCAATAGATAGATTTGTTACTGTATTGTTTCTATTTGTTTCTTTTCTCTGGAGTTAATTTTTAAGTCCCATGTTGAATTTTTTTTTTAAGTAGATTATTAATAAACCATGATAATCTGCTATTCACCCTCACCCATTTGGAACCCTAACATATGAATGAGTTAAATCAGCAGGCGTGGAGATAGTAAAACCATGCATACAGCAGGTTCCTTTATCTGTAGTTTTAATTTCTATGGTCAACTACAGTATAAAAATATTAAATGGAAAAATCCAGAAATTCTTGTCCCCAGCTTGGTTGGGACATGAATCAGAATCTTTGTGTAGTGATTCTAAGCTATATACACTACCCCTCCAGTAGTGACTTAGTAGTTATCTGGCTTATCAGGTGACTTGCGGTATCACAGTATTTGTTTTCAGGTAACCTTTATTTTACTTAATAATGGCCCCAAAGTGGAAGAATAGTGATAGTGGCTTCTCAGGCACACGAAAGAAGCTATAAAGTGCTTCCTTTAAGTGAAAAGGTTAAAATTCTCAGTAAGGGAAAGCTGGGTATAGTGGTCTATGCCTATAATTCCGGCTACTTAGGAGACTGAGGCAGGAGGATCTTGGGTTTGAGGCTAACCTGGGCAACATAAGTGAGATTTTCATCTCAAAAAAAAAAAAAAAGTATTTGTGTGTATGAATTGAGAACAAAAAATCTTACACTGTAGTTGCTCTATCTATAGTACAGTAAGGTATTTTAAGAAAGATATCACACTGAGGTAACTTTAGTTGGAGTATATTGATGTAATTGTTCTGTTAATCTCTTACTGTGCCTAATTTTTTTTCTTTTTTGTGTGCCTAATTTTTAATTAAACTTTATCATAGGTATGTATGTATAGGAAAAAACATAGTATATCTAGAGTTTGATATTGTCTGCAGTTTCTGGCATTCATTGGGGGCCTTGGAACATATCCTCCTTAGATAAGGGGGACTACTATATCTTCACTATATCTTCATTGCAGTCTCATAAGCCAGTGAGTTTTAGATTAGCTTTATAATAATAATGAAAACCTTGTCTTTCATTTTCATAAATATACCCAAGAAACTTCATTGCTGTTTAAAAAAAATTTTTGTGAGAAAAAGGGACTACCTGCTCTTGTTTACTGATTCAGTTTTTAATTTAGAGTGAGAAGAAAGTCAGTGAAAGCTCTTTAGAAATTAGTATGTGATGGGGTGAGGGTGTAGCTCAGTACTGCTTATCATGCATGAGACCCAGGGTTCCATCCTCAACCTTCCCTCCCCTCCAAAAAAATTAGTGTGTGATAAATCTTATGACCTACTCTATAGCTGTCATTTTTCTCTACAGGACATAGTTTCTGTGCTTGAAGCCCAGTTTCACAAGTACTTCCTTACCCCAGGAATATGTTACATAATTTAATCAACTGAGCCTGCCCTGAGTTTGCCATGGGCATTGGGAACAATTAATTTGACAGAGATAGTGTTGTATTATGAAATGTCGTATGTCTAATGGCTTGGATCGTTGCAAATATTTTCATCATCTGAAAAGTTAGATACTTGCTCTTACTCACTAAGGATCATGTTTAAGGAAGTCTGGCCAAGTTCTAATATGAAACGTCCATACTTGCCTCATATGTTTTGTTGTTCTTTCTGGTTTTTCTTAACCAGCTGGAAAGCTAAACAAAGTTTACCTCTGGTGGTATCTAAGAGACTATTCGTCTAATGTTTAGGACCAGCATGAGTCCCTGCCCTCTAATTTAGTTGGGTAGGTGGGTTCTTGATGTTGTAAGCCTCTGTTTATTTCTTATTGTAAGTAGTGCTTTTGATACATCAACCATTCATATCTGTAGTGAACTTTCCAATGATTTAAGAAAAAATGTAAATGAATGGCAAAAATTGGTAATACAGACTGAATGCTGATAGAGAGGTAGGTCATGCTAGAAATATAATGCAAAATAGATCTTACTTGGAATCATTTAAATTGAAATTGATAGGCTTGAATGCTATATTTTTATAAAGTTCCTTAGCTTTGCTGCTGGAGAGTAGCACTTAAGGTTAGAGTGTATTCATTCCTAACAGTCTGAAATACTATTACTAGAATTAAGGGTCTAAACTATACCCATCAGGCATTTGGTATTACCAGCAGGGAGGGAGGACATTAATTCAAAGAAGTAACAAAGTTTCTTATAGTTTGGT